AATTACCCTCTAAACTTAATAACTGGGTTCAACATCATTGGTGGCAACAACTGTAATCAAGCATTTGTGATAACTAACATCACTGCGGAGCAATTTAGTCCCGCTCCAGTCCCTTTGGAGGGTTTTCCAGCATACATGGGCGCCTGGTTAAGGTCAATGCTCAGACATTTGGTTTCAGGATAGAGAACATTCCTGTTCAGCTGGTCATCCATGCATTTATGTAGCAAAGCAACCCCAAATCATCACACTACCACTGCTGTGTTTGGCTGTTAAATTAGATCTTTTTTTTTTTTTAATGCTAAGTTGGTTTACTCCACATCTAATGGGACACACACACACACACACACACCATGCGAAAGGATCCATGTGTGTCTCATCAATCTACAGAATATTTCCTGAAAAATCTTGGATCATCGAGGTGCTTTAGGGTAGATCAGGGCCAGGTCTTTGTGCTAGAGAAATGTAACTCTGCTCGCCATTTGGTCAGCCACAATGTATTCATACTTTAACAAGCAGGGCAACTGTTTGCCATTGGTTATTTAATACTTAAAACATTTGAAAACCGTTTCATTTGCTCAGAGGTTATTAAACTTCATACTGATATTTGTTCTTCTAGAAGTTAACCAATATGAGTTGTTCAATGATTGATGTTAATCTACCAACGTCCTTTCTCATAAGTAATGATTCCGGTAATACTATTATGTATACTGTTTACTGTGACATTTACTTTTTGGTACACAATGAGGAGTTTTTACATTTTGATTTATATTTTTTATTTAATTAAAATATGGAATCGGTTAGCCGCGGCAATGTACAAAGGGCAATCCTTTTTAAAACTGGTATTTAAAAGAAATAAGACACACTACAGTAAACGTGGTATATAACAGTTACTTCATTTACATTTACGTGTTGATGTTTATTGTTCTTTTACATCGCTGTTAAGTTTTCATCTATGACTGTTTGTGTTTCTTTAACTCTGGAGAACAGAGGCTGACTGAGCATTTTTGATCCTGACTTGATGCTCAAATCCTTACTGACACACATGCATCTTCTATGGACTCTTATAACCTACATGCAGTACAGCTCACATGTATGAAAGCACACATGTGCCCTTGAGCTGTGCTGATGCGGGGAGACGGTAGTTTTTTATGGATGTTTTATTTCTAGGACTCCATCTCTGCAGTGTCCTCATTTTCCTGCTGACTGTCTGCCTTGGCACCCAAGAGCAAGGTTTCCCTGGACCCAGCAAAGACTGACAGCTGGGTGGCCTCCTGAACACAATTTTGGGGTGTTTCTCATCCCCTTATCTTTGTTTGCCAATTTTCTTTTTTCTTACCTGAAATCGCACAACAAAGTCTCCTAAATAACTGCTGTAGCTTAGTTTAATCGTGTATAAATATCCTACTTTCAGTAACCAAAACTCTTGCCTCTTTAATGTTATTTTTTCCTCCTAAAGATGGTTTCACATGTCAAATCAAATGTCTCTGATTGTGGTCAAGCTTCAGATCTCTAAAAGAAACTGCCAACCCTCAACTTGGAAATAGACTCGGAGTGAGATCAAAACATGCTTCCAATCTTTCAATCCAACGGGAAAATGTATACGCTGTTTGCTAACCAACAGTAGAACTTTATCACTCTCAGTGACATTGAAGAGCTGTATCCGTTTTGGTAACCATGAAAGAGAGTGATTACTCTTTTGTTGTGGAACATTCTAACCATTACTCTTTGTGTCTTTAAATTACGGGGTATGGGTAACATTTGAAATGAGATTTTAACCAAGTGAAAGCGATCATCAGATTATCCTTTTTTGGCCACAAACATTAGCTGTCCAAACCATTCTCATCTGCCTGGGGTGTAGAATTCCACAGCTTGCCCTTTCGTAGGGTGCCATACCTCCTTTAGCTGATGAGCACATGCATATTTTTGACCACAAGCTACGGCAAGCAAAAAAATGTTGCTGTTGTCAATGTTTACACAATCTATTACTTATTAGAAACTAGAGGTGCTGAAAAAAATCGATTCAAGTCTGAATCGGGATTCTTATTTATAAAGATTTTGAATCGATTCACAAAGGTTCAGAATCGATTCCAAGAACTCAAATATTTAGCATGTTACAGGTTTGAGATGCACTTTTTTGATCTTTGTTAGGAGAGTCAGTACTCCGATTACTTTTGTGGTCCCATAAATTGAGATGATTTATGTTTGAATCTGCTGATAAGAGGGCACTTGAATGTCATTTTTTCCATACTCAGAAATTTGAGATATTCTCATATTTATTTTCTAAGTTGATAAACAAGTACTCAGGATTACTCATGTAACTTGTTTCTACACATACTTGAAAAGTATTTGACCGTATTACTTTCAAAGGTACTGTTAGGTAACCACAGATGTGTTATATTTTACAAGGTAAGCAAAAATAAATGTTGCCTTTTGGTCAAAAGATTGTTTCTGTTTACAGTTTTAGAATCACTTTATTTTACATAGTAAATTAGCATTTTTGGAGCACGACCAGTTTAAAGTCAAATAAAAATGTCCCATAGCTTTAACTAACTTGTACAACAAAGTAGTTCATCCTGGAGCTGACACTCTTTGTTAATACTGATTGTGAATCGATTCAAATTGAGAATCGATTCTGAATCCAATCGGCACCCCGAGAATCGGAATCGGATCAAATCACATCCCTACTAGAAACTATTAAAGTCCTGGTGGGAAATCACATTTTCTTCTTGTCCTTTAAATGGACTGTCGCTAAATCCATGCTAATGATATATTACTTGACTTTGTGTCTTTCATTTCTTTGGCACCATCAAGATGGAAGAGGCGTTTACTAAAGCAAGCAATGCGGTCACAAAAGTCTGGGTTGCACATGCTCCTTCATCCGAGGGGGAGGGCCCTCCGGACAGGCAGGATGGCAAAACTGACATTACTGGAAGAGTAGCTACGGAAAGTATGAACTACATTTCTGGCCAAACATGAGGAAGTCCACAAACAAATGGTTTGCCTAAATGGAAACAGAAAATGTATATGTATTTGTTTCTGTTTAGTATTCATTACTTGGTACAATTCTGATTGGCGTGTTTGGGAACAGTCACCTCTAAATGTTGTCTGAGAAGCTGAATCTTTACGTGTCCTTGAGGCTTTTATCAAACCGTGTTCGTATCTGCCCACTCAAGATGTTCGTGGGAGAATCATGGTGTCCATGTGAAGATGAGTGGTGTTGTAGGATGTGGATTAACTGGTTGGGCCAGTTAGAAAAGCTGCACAACCCACCTGTCTAACTTTTCTCCCTTAGAGAAATCTCTAAGTCTCTATGTCCGTGTCTGTCTGATAAAATCAGCTGAATCTTTAGAATTTCTGCAAACATCTCTGTTTGGGTTCATAACCTTATCATAAAACCAGTAAATCACTATATTACAGCAGTCCGTTTATCCCAGTATTTATTACAATTTAACTGACATTTTACCCAGAAACATCATAATCTGTTTTAATGCTATCTGCAGTTGTGTTGCCAGCCAAAACTACACAGAAAGAGAGAGATTTTAGTGGAAAGAGGTACATGATGTGTCCTTCTGTAACTCAGTGGAGCCTTGACTGGCTGCTGGAGGGATAAGGAGTCTCTATCTGAAGCTTTGGCTCCGTGTGCTTGGCTGTGGACCCTCAGATCCGAGCCGAGGGCTGCTTTCCACTGTGAGCCATCTCTTTTGTACGGCCTGGTCCAATATTGTTCCCTGCAGCTACAAAGTCATGCATATGTGTTGGGGTTGTCTGTGCGTACCTTCCTGTGTGGTCTCCATATCTACAGCCTGACACCATGATTCAGGCTGATGATAATCTACAGAATAAACTGTGTGTGGTTTGTGATTCCAGCATTAACAAACACCAGACATCAAGAACCAGGAGATCTTTTCCTCGCTGTGTCCCAAAGCATGTTAGATTATCAGGGAGGGATGAGTTTTCCTGTCAGTAATTCCTGCTTTTTATTCTGACAGGAATTTTTGGAGCCAAGTTTGGCTTTTGCATGTTTTCTTTTTTCCTGTAATTTTTAAAAAGTCATGTTGTGGTTTCACATTACTACAGGTGTAACCTCAGTTTTGTATCACTTTTTTGTGCCTTTTTTGCTTGGAATTTGCTGGTTGTGTGTGGGCAATTGAAAGTGTTTGAGTGAGAGAATGGGAGGGATGCGGCTGCATGCCCTAAGGCCATGTTAATAAGTACTCCCTCTTTCTATTCCTCCCATTTTTCCTTCTCTCTTTCTCAGGGTGTCTTTGCACTCCTCTCTGCCTCCCTTGATGATAGCAGGGAGCAGCCAGATCATTGCTTCATTCTGGCGTTTCTCTCCTCTTATCCTTCCTACACAGCTTGTAACTTTCCTTTTGCATTGTCCAGCTCCTTGCTTTCATACATCCTCCCTTCTTTCCAGTTCATCCAGTTTTCTTTTCCATCTTTTTTTTTTTTTTTTGAAAGCTCAGGGCACAGATCAAGGCAGTGCCAGGGGAGTGAGCGGAAGCGGGCAGTGGGGAGGGATGAAGAAAGGATGGCGAGATAGATGGAGGCCAAAGAGCTTGTGATGAAGGATGGAGAGTTTGAACCGTGCATGAAGAAACGAAACACAATGTAGCTGCAAGCTCTGCAGTAAAACAAAACCTCTATTTTAAATGAATGAGGTGAAAGGAAACAAGACTGGGTGACAGACTAACTTTTAAACATTATGGTTTTACTCCCTCAGCAACCACCAGTAACCACACAATTTGCTTGCAAAGAGGAAGTTGTTTTTTGCCTCTATTTTGAGCACGCATCAACTCTTGCACCACGTTTGTTTCCCACAGTCCCAACAGTCAGTGGTTTTTCTTTTCTATCCAGACTCTGTCCTCGTCACACCTCGGGGAATCGAAAGCACTTCTACTCTCCTGTGCATGTTGGTGTTGAGGCTCACTCATTTGGCTAAAACAAATTTCACAAATGTCTCCACCGCTAACCTGCCGTGTCCTCTGTTTCCACAGTACTGGCATAAAGGATGCTTCAGCTGCGAGGTCTGCAAAATGACTCTAAACATGAAGAATTACAAAGGCTTTGAGAAGAGACCATACTGCAATGCGTAAGTTTGCCCTAAATCTTTCTGAGGCTGTCGGTCAGCGTCTCTAATGTTTTATATTCAAAGGATTCAGCCTGCATCCTAAAGACGATATTTAATCTGACCACAGACGCAAACCGGAGCGTTTGTGAGAGTGTGCATGTTACAATCCAACTAGGCCCCTCTCTTCCTCCTCTGCTGTTTATCTCTGACTATTCTAGCTCCCCCCCCCCCCCCCCCTCCCTCAGCCTATGGGAGGTGTGGGAAAGTCCCCCCCCCCCCCCCCCCCCCAGTGGGGAAGGGGGGGCATCAACAAAGGAAATTCCTGAAGTTCCTCTGCAGTGACAGAGATGGACTCTGGACATTAGCATGTTCCCGCATGCTTCCATACATGCTAGAGGCTCATCAGGAATCTGTGGAATCCCCCATCTCTCATTCGTGTAATGATTTTCTCCTCCTCAGGGTTTGTCTTTCTGAGCTGAGTTCATGCTCTGAGAGGGAATGCAGGGAGAAGGCATTGCTTCATGTTCTGACTAGCTCCGTTGCAGAAATGCCATTTGCCGTAAATCCTCTAATACAGGCCAGGGCCTGTATTTGACTCAAGCTCATCAAGCTCCAGGCCTTTATTGGAAGGAGGACCAGAAATAGAGGCAGGCCTCAATTTCTATTTGAGCAAAATGAACTAATGGTTCGCTGGAGTTTTTGACAATTAAAATTGCGCCCACATTTTCAAAGTTAAACACATTTCTTTTAACAACGGTAGTTTCTGCTTCAGTCCTCTCCCCCCTCCCCCTGCGCAGCAGCCGCAAACTCACTGATGCGCCTGCAGCCTCTCGGAGTTCCTGCTGCTCTAAACATTAAAATAATTATTTCATTTTCTGTTCCTCACTTCTGATTACCTTCAATGGTGTCTGTTCATTGCAACCAGCAGGTACAAAAACTAACTTGTTTTTATTTGACTATTTTTCTGTCCTGTATCTGTTTATTATCTTCCTGCATCTCCTCTCAATCTTAAAGAAAAACTGCTACCTGGGTTCATATATCTTCACCTTATGAGTTACCTTTGAACTGCAGTTCTAAAAGATCTACCGACCGCAAAAACAGCAGAGTGCTTGCCGGCCGCATCAGTGGTGCTTCACCGAGGACAAAACAGGTGATGCGCCCTGATCCACAGCAGCGAAACGCATCAGGCACAAATAAAAGAATAAAAAAACAGAAAACATCAAAGGAAATGAGCCGACATGAACGATCGCGTGTTAAATTAGTTTTTGAGGTGGCGACACTGTTACTGTGGCCGTGCTCAGGACGCAGATGTCTGGAGCGCGTCAACAATCAGAGCTTTGCATGCACAAACTGGTTAAGGTTAGGATGGGGGTGAGGGGAAGGTTAAATTGCAAGAGGGTAAACGTCACAATTTGGTTAAATGTCCGTTTTACGGTGGGTGTCGGTACCGACGCTCTGGCACAGCGCGTTGCTTCCCGACGCACAGGAGCTTGTCACCTGCTGACAGCAGGCTGCTGTCTTTTCCGTGGACTGCATCTTGCCGGTCATTATCACGTGACAGCGACTAGTCGATGACAGGCATAAAAAGTCACTATAGAGCGGTGAAGTCGACTAGTGACTAGTTCATACAACCCCTGCTACTGCTCCCCAGAGTGTTCTGCAGCATAATCAGAACGTTCTCTTTGAACTTGATATCAAATGTTCGCCTCCTCTACGTCTCCGCATTGTTAAAGTTGCCCTCGCGGTCTATCACTGGCAAATCGAAAGTGAGACGGATGACACAACCGCCCCCTGTACTTGCTTGTTACCACATTCCACCCGACCACAATAAAAAACGGCCATTATTCACCTCCGCCAACTCCGACACCGGCCAAAATATGATACCCGGCAGTTAAATACAGGCTAATATTAGAGGATTTACGGTAACTGACGGAGAATTATACAAAATACACCCAGACTTCTCCCAGTTATACCAAGTACTCATTGTAATAAAGTTCATTTACATTCTTCAATATCTCTTCAATATTTTACATGTTTTAACTCAAATGTTCGGTTCCCCCACACAACTAGTCTGTACTCTACGCAGTGTTTGGGAGTAATTGAATACTTGTACAGCCGTTCCGTATTTAGACTACTAATTGTGAGTAACTTTATTCCATTCCAGTAACTATTTTTAAATATTTGTATTTAGATTACAGTTAATTTTGTAATACCAATGGAATACTTGTGTGTTTTCTACTTTCCTCCTGAAAGATGAATGAATACATTTCAGGCAATGCGTGTCTCCGCTCTGTGTAGAATATAGTCTAGCAACGATCCACTGATGGCTCTGTTGTGGCGGGATCCACGATTGTCTTTCAAACTGTTTCGGCATTCTATAGGATAACAAACAACGTGATGTACTCACCGCAACAATGTCAGTCAACAAGACAGTCTGCCATTCTCCATCAAAGAAGATGCAAATACATCCTTTTTATAAGTGAACTTGTGTACCTCTATCTGCTCTTGAGTCAAAGAAAAACCCAAGTCTAAATAGTCCAAAGTTGATGATCAGTTTCCATCTATGTATCAGTAACATCCCGCTGACCAACAGAGTGCTGTGATTGGCCCTCCAAGCCCATAGGATTGGACCAGTTCGCCATTACATTGTGAAAGAACTACATAAAACATAAAATAATGCATTGTTTTTCTGAATAAACACGCTAGTTGGTTAGTAGCTTCTGCAGAAGTGTCTCACTTTATTACAGAAACAGAAAAATACTTTATTGATACTTTGATAAAGTAATAAAAATTATACAATAGTATCATTTAATTTTTCCCAGTCAGTACATATGTTTAGCACAACTAAATTTGTTCAAGGGCCCGGAGTTTTCTCCAGCAGACACCATGAGGGCCAGATGCTCTTCTGAAATAAAGTTCAATTATATAATTATATCTTAATTTAGTGATGTTTAAAATGGCTTTGTTTTCCATCTAAACTGTTTTGATTGTAGTTTGTGTTTGGAGAAGAAAAACAGTTATTGATATTTGGGACGTGAATTTTGCTGCTAAACTTCAAATTCCCCCAAGTTTGGGGGGGGGGGGGGGGGGTGTTAGGGCCCAAAGGGTTGAGGGGACCAGGTGGAAAGGTCTGACGGCCCGGATGTGGCCAATGGGTCGCCAGATGAGCGTCGCTGGTTTAGCATGCCCTGTGTATTCCTGTGGGACTAGCTACCTATGCACATTGTGACATTTAATTGACTTAAATAAAGTAATCCAAGTATTTGGAACACAGCACCAGGATTAAGTAATGTAATGCATAACAAAATACATTTTAAAGCAGGTATTCAGTATTTTGTAACTAAATACATTTACAAAGTATTCTCCCCAACACTGTGTACATTACAGGAGTTTGGGTCCAACCATTCTTTGGCACTGTTCAAAGCTAATTAGAACCTTTCAGTGAAGATAAAACTGTCAAGTTTCAGTAGCTGATTTATAGAGGTACCTGAAACCAAGAAGCTAACTGACAGAAAGGTTACTGTGAAGGTTGTGTGCTCTGCAGAGTCTATCTGTCCTTTCATATTGTAATGTCTCCATATTGTATCGTCTCCCCTGTATCGTGATACCGTATCGCCATAATTTCACCAATACACATCCCTACTTTATAGCAATACCTTACTGTTTAGCAGTTTCTGTGGGAAACAATAAATGCTAAAGTTTATTGTTAAAATAAAAGGATTTAAAATAAAAAGGTTGAAATTAAAGTTATTCATTAGATATATTTTAATAGCTCATAGATGAGTTGATAGAATAATTAATATTTAATATAGTCATTAATGGTGGCCCTAGTTGGAAGTAATTGTTACTGTGGTAGTTTTGATCAGCTGTTTGCTGTAGGATACAGCTCCTCTTGATTAATATTGGAGACAAATCAGTAACATGACACTATTCCAGAAACTTGTCGATGTGTCTGGATCAAGTATGGATTTTATTTTTCTGTACAGAAGGTGACTGATGACTGAAGCACTCATTAGTCTACTGTGTTTTATGATCCTAAACTAGGAACAGATTTAAAACTCCTGTGGGGAAACTTGAAACTTAAGAATATGGTGCAAAGTTAATTAATTTCAGTATTTCAACGTAAAAGTTGAAACTAATATATCAGATAAACTCATTCCATGCAAAGCCAGATAGTTCAAGCTTTTGTTTTTTCAGAATCAGAAGGTTTTATTGCCATATGTGCGAGAAAACACAACATTAGGAAATGGTTGCGATACTTGTGCAAAAAGAAAGATAAAAATAAGAGTTAATCAAATATAGGAAGTAAAAATATAATCATCATAAAAGAATAACATAAAATGGCAATAATTAGAGAAGCAGCTACTATTTACACAGTGTAGGTACGTACTGATCAGAGCGGATCAGTTCAGGTACAAGCAGGGTCAGGTGACTGGGACCAAGCGATTGGAGTGGGCAGCCCTAGCAATGTCCTTCATGAGTCCAACAATAGAGGGGAAGAAACTGTTCTTGTGGCAAGAGGTTCTGGTCCAAATGGATCTGAGCCTCCTGCCAGATGGGAGCGAGTCAAAGAGACTGTGTCCAGGGTGAGGCGGGTCAGCTGTTGTTCGACCTGCATGCCTCAATGTCCTGGAGGTGTACAGGTCCTGTATAGAGGGGAGTTTGCAGGCGAGGACCTTCTGAGCAGAGCGTACAACACTCAGCAGCCTCTTCTTGTCCCTGATATTGGCTCCAGTATACCACACAGTGATTGAAGAGGTCAGGATGGACTCGATGACTGCGGTGTAGAACTGCCTTGTCAACTGTGCTGGTAGGTTGAATTTCTTCAGCTGTCTCAGGATCTACATCCTTTGCTGGGCCTCTTTTTGATGGAGGTGATGGTGGGCTCCCACTTGAGGTCCTGGGTGATGGTGGTGCCTAGGAAGCAACAAGAGTCCATCATCAATATGGGAGTGTCAGACATGATTATAGGGGGGGGGGGGGGGGGGGGCTGCACGCTTTCTAAAGTCCACAACGATTTT